ACAAATCTACTGTATGTATTTTTAAGGTTCCTGCCAAGGCCGGAGGTCTACCTGAGAAAAAAGAAGTTCTTTTGGAGGATCATGATCCTATATGGCTCGAGCTTCGCCATGCACATATTGCTGATGTATGCCTTGCTTTTATGCTTTTACGTTCTTACACTTTAGCAACATGAATACCTTTTGATATTGATGACCATGTCAGGCCAGTGAACGGCTGCATGAGAAAATGACTGGCTTCATTTCAAAAAACAAAGCTGCACAAATTCAACATGGTTCAAGGTGATGGTGAACAAACTAATGTAACGGTTTAGTCATTATCAGAAATCAAATATTTTCCTAATTTCTATTTATTTTAAAATGGTATGGTTTGACGCACCCTATGGTTTGACTTGAATTCATTCCCTACTGTGGTGTAAAAGTTGATGCTTTGCCACACCATGTGGTGTATTCCTTAATCTAACAATCGCCTTGAGTTTTTCTATCCATTTTGCTATGGCTAGTTATCTGTGAGACGACTTTGAACATATTTCCTTGTAGTTTGTGCCATAGAGGTGTGATAAGAGAGCAAATCATAGATGGCAAAATATTGATATTTGTTCCATTGGACAATTTTAATTCTGCTTGGTTAGAATATAAGAAAATATCTAATAATATCTTCGATATTATCTTAGTTTAGTTCTTAAAACCAGTTTATAATCTTAGAGTATCTTAGATTATCTTAAGATTAGTTTTTATATTACTTAATATTTTACTATGATTTGTTATTGATTTCTCTATTTATTTAGGATTGAGTCTCTATATGGATTAGTGTTTAGTCTAATGTAACAAGTTATTTTCAATAATATTAAATAAAACACATAAGTTCAACATATTCAAATTATATATGTTAGTGAATATTTGCCTTTTCATAATTTATCGGAGCTTGGATTTGTGGTTTAATGGAAATATTTGTTTATCTAGCTAATAATAAGCTTCACTTAGACTATCAATTTGTATTGTATTTATAGAAGTAGCGGTGATATGTCGACAAGGGATTTACAGAAGATGGTTCAAGCACTTCCACAATATAGCGAACAAATGGACAAACTCTCCCTCCATGTAGAGGTTCGTTTTGTTATAATACTATCTAGATAAAACTTTTTTTTTCTTCTTATAATGATAACACAATATGGTATGCACAAATACGTGTGCTAACTAAGTTTTGAGAAAGAGGCCTTTTCAACAGTTTTCATTTGTCCTCAGGAAAATCTAATCGTAATTGGCACAGTTTTCATTTGTCCTCGAGGAAAAATCTAATTGTAACATGGTAGTGCCACGTCTTTTATTGCCTCATTGGGAAATTTCCCTGGTCACACATTTTAGTAAAGCTGAACTTATAGATGCTAGTATATGTTATCCCACTTAGTTCTTTTTCACAATTAAGATTAGAGTATAATTATGGGATATAAGATTAACATGGTGGTTGTGGTTGAGTAGTGTACAAGTGGAGTGATAAGACTGACATACTAATATTTGCCCTGCAAAGAAAAGAGTATAATTGGCTGTGATGAATTTAATGATGTTAAATTAATCTTTCTAGTCCACAGTTTAAAAGGTATAAATGAGTTCTGATCGTTACCTGATCAGAATGGATTGTCAAAGACGCTAGCTTCGAGCCAAGCAGCAGATGAATGTGAAGTGAGGGGTACCTACAAGACACTCCGATGTCAAAGTGAGGTTCAGAGTTATGCAAGCAAGTGTGAGAGTAAGATGAGATTGAATGAATATCTGACCCTCTCAAGTGAGAGGGTATTTATAGTCTCCAGCGCTGGGCCAAGATCTTCAGTGAGGCCCAACAACGAAGACTGTCAGGGCTTACGTGTGTATGAAGTCCAGCACGTGGCCTCTTTCCTGGTCAACCGCCCCCGAAAAAGCAGGAGTTGGACCCGTTATTCTCGAAGGGCAGGATGATGATGATATGAACACGTGAACTACGTTCCTTAATGGACACGTGGGAAATTGTCCAATGGTCCCTAGCTTGGACTGCATGCCTTTGGGCCTTAGGCAAAGGCGCTGGATTGGACCTTCCAAACGGTGGGGCAAGTGCTGGCCCGGTCCAGAACAAGTTCCATAGTTTAAAATGAAAAACAAAATCCATTGGGTTCCCTAAAACCACTATCAATTTGTTTGATCTTACTGGCTTACAGGACCAGTTAAAAATTCTTTTGCAATTATAGGGACTCATTATAGTTTCAAATATACATAATCCTATTTTAAAAGGACTTGGAGATTAACTTATTTAAAATCATTGGTGCGAATTGACATTGCTTTATAAATGACGGGCTTCTCTGATCCAGCTTGCAGGAAACATTAACAGAATCATCAGGGAGTCAGGGCTGCGGGATTTGGGCCAGCTGGAGCAAGATCTTGTTTTTGGAGATGCAACAATGAAAGATGTGATCAAATTTTTTACTATGAAAGAAGTAAGATATTCTTAATGTGGGAAAGAAAACAACATTCTAACAATTAATCAATGTACATGATAAAATGAGAACTTTTTAGTGAAGACATTGATTTTGAAATTAGACACGCAAGCTTTGCACTGTTTCTCATATTAAACTTCATACACATACCCACTTTTACGCAGGATACAACCCGTGAAAATAAATTGCGCTTGTTAATGATTCTTGCAGCTGTTTATCCTGAGAAATTCGACGGAGAAAAGGGTCAGAATTTGATGAAGGTATGGTTTCTGCTTTCTGCTCGTTTTGAAGAATGATATATTTCTATGATTCCCAACACCTGTTATGCAATTTTTAAGTTTCAAGTACTTTTCAGATAGCACGATTAACAGACGAGGATATGAATGTTGTGAATAATTTGAGAATGCTTGGGGGACAACCGGATACCAAAAAACGTTCGACTGGTGCTTTCGGCCTTAAGTTTGATATCATTAAGGTAAAAATAATTTCTAGTTGTAAATAAATAAATTTTTAAAATTTTACATTATTTCCGAAAATTCTTTTAACAGAAGAAGCGTGCTGCAAGGAAAGAACGTCCTGGGGAAGAAGAGAAATGGCAGTTATCACGGTTTTATCCCATAATAGAGGTACAAATTAAGTTAATTAATACTTGATACATTTTTCCCATATAAAATATGTACTCACTTATGAAGTTTCACCAAGAGGATAGCATTAGAATGAAAATCCAACGAATATGAGTCAAATGAAGGCCAGCTTCATTTTTTCACATGAACAGTTTTATGGTAATTTATTGGAAGAATATATTTATGATTGCATATTTAGCCTCAAAAGTTCTTTAGCTTTCTATGTGATGAGTGAATGACTATTCAGGAACTCATTGAAAAACTCACGAGAAATCAACTTTCTAAGGAAGATTATCCATGTTTGAATGATCCAAGTGCAACTTTTCACGGCTCACCCTTTGCTGGGACTGTACATCAAAATCCTCATTCAATGAGATCAAGACGCACACCAACTTGGGCAAAACCACGAGGCTCTGATGATGGGTACTCAAGGTATTATTTTCTGTACACTTCAGAACTAATAAGTAATCTAACAATTGCTTCTGATGGAATCAGTTTTTTCTTTTCACTACACAACTATAATTGTTCGCTTGATATACCCCTGCACAAATTTGTTACTAATACTTAATAGAATTTAACTTAGATAGATTATAGATAGTCTTTTTTTTCTTCCTAATGTATTTTTATAGATAGATACATGATGAGATATGATTTGATGTATATGTAATTTTTTGTACATAGATAGCCTTTGAACTCTTTGTTGAATACTCTCCCATAATGCAAACAGTTTTTATATTTTATTGCTTGGATGCAGTGATTCGGTGCTTAGACATACTTCTAGTGATTTGAGGAAGACGGGGAGTCAAATATTTGTATTTATTATTGGCGGTGCAACCCGATCAGAGGTTTGGACATTTCTCTCAATGTGTTGAGATTGTAAATTTTGTCTTTTAGGTTTCTTAATCTTTTTATCTTATACTATACTTCAATCTTCAGCTAAGAGTTTGCCACAAACTTACTAGAAAGCTGAATAGGGAAATTATTCTAGGTTCGACGAGTCTTGATGATCCTGCACAATTTATTTCGGTATTGAATTTTCTACCTTTTTCAGTGCCAAATCTTTTCTACCTTTTTTGACATAACCATCACGGCCTTCTATTTTTCTTGTTTTGCAGAAATTGAAGATGCTAACTACACATGAACTTACGCTAGATGATATCCAGATATGACGTTACAGAAGTTAAAATTTGAGCTTCTGCTTACTTGTAAAATATTTGTTGTAATTTATATAGTTAAATCATCTCATTCTTAGCAGAGGATTTATATAGTTAACTCCTTGTGCTTCAACCGGGTTGCTTGATGACAGATTTTGCATGCGCTAGGAAATCTTCGTTGGTTACTAACCAGAATAATTTATTTAGCTTTCCAGGAATTAACAGACTCACTTGGAACCGAAAATTGAAATAGTGAAACTAACACTTTGTTGTTATGCCTTTTATCAAAAGATATACTCTATTATATTCTGCAGGAAGAAGATGAAACTTTTGTTCAATAAATTTATTCTAAAACTTACTATCAAATTAAGACATTAACATTGTACTTGAATAATAAACAAATATCCTCCTGATAATTGTTTAAAAGTTAAGCGTCTCTCTTTTCAATTTAATAAAAATATAACTCTTGCCACAAAAACTAACTTATCTATACCTGCTAAGTCACACAGCTCCGCCACTCCCAACAAAGGAAACTTGCTATCATATTGTAGAAAAAAATCCTGATAGTTTTGTATCCTCTTTTAATGTCAATGTGACCAACTTTTTCAAGTTGGAATACAATAAATCTCAGTTTCATCGTTGAACTACATGCAAAACAAAACAGTCCTTTTCCTACTTCAAATATCATCAGTCAAACAATGGCAAATTACCAGGCTACTTTACCAAAACAAAAAAGATGCCTATAAGCAAGTACACGTGCTTCAATCCTCAGGATAAGAACGGCGAAGTACTTTCTCCTTCTCAGACAATAAATGTTCTGCCTTTCTCTTTCTGAGCTCACCGACTAATTTATTAACATATGCAATGTATTTGTCAACATCAAATTTTCTTTTGCAACCTTTGTAATTCATGTACCGAATTTTCCCGAAAATGGGACGCTCTCGCCAACCCTGAAATGAACAGAAACACATGCCAAAAGGACCTCAGACAGAGTTATTTCTTCCTCAACATTCAATCTGAAAATTGTGTAGCAAACAAGAATGAAGTAGGCGAACCTGATCATGCACTCCACATATAGACCACATGCAGCCAACATAACCACTTGGATCCCTCCCATCCATTTCATACTGCACTCAGATGAAATTATTGTCATTTATTCAAAGGGTAGAGTAACCTTCATCTCATGAAAACTGCATTTGTGATTAGATTGCTTCTCTATCTTGACTAAGGGTTAGTGTATACCTTATCATTTAAATATATACATATCTCAAGTGCTTCTTCAGGTCCTTTTGTCCATTCAAGAATCTTCTTTGCCCAATACATTCTGTACAAGAAAATTTCTAATTGAGAAAGCATATTTATTAGCTGCAACCATTAGAGAAAGAGATTCTATGAAGAGCAAGTAAAATTGTAAGGGGAAATAAAGTGCTTTGATTGATACGAATGCTTATTAGAGAGCAACAAAAAGGACAAAAACTTATCAAGAAGTTACTGACCTCATAAAACCATGCATTTTCCCATAGTGAACCATCTCCAGTTGGGAAGCATTCCAGAGCTGAAATTTGCCCCCCCAAAAAATATGAAAGACATTAATATAGGGGTGTAATAACTTTTGAGCTTGAGGGTTATGTAGTTTTAGTATGAGAAAATATTATTATCAGTGAAAGATTAACTTACAGGATCAGCAGTCTTAGCTTTCTCCAACTGCTCCCTCCTGTAAAATCAAAAACCAAATGAGCTTACAAGTAAACATTAGAGCTAGAGAACAAACAAAATACATGTAACTCACGTGTAAACATGTTCTCTCTTATCCGAGGCATGATCGAGTAAGGTTTTACGAGCCCACTCCCAGGCTCCTTTTAGTGAATCATAATGAAGTTGATAGAAGCAAAAGTTATCAGCAAGTTCTCTCCTGACAATCAACTCCTCCAGGAAAGTATCAACAGCCTTTACATCAAACATCAAAGAACAGAAAAAGTTAAGTCCAAGATAAGATTTTTAATCAGCATTTCATCAGGAAAAACAAAATCAAGCAACAGAAACAGCATAAATCAAGATAAACAAACCTGAGGATGTGAAGCTCTTAATTTACGAGCTTCTAAAGCACATCTTTGAGCAGATATCTGTCCGAAATGCAAATAAGGAGATAAACCCGAAAGTGCAGTTGGTTTACAAGGGTTATTGCGATCGGTTGAATAACTTCTCAACCTTTTACTTAAGAATCCATTCTTACTTCCCATCAATACTTCCATAGCAGCAATTTCTCCAGGCTCACACCAACTAACTTCAGGAACCTCGGCTCCCCTCCTATTTTAGGAAAGAAAAAATACAATCATAAAGACATCAGCATATATAACCAACCACGTGAACAAAACACATACACGGACAACAGACACCAAACATCAGACACCACAAAGACAACAGCTCCTACAATAGTTTAAGAGATAAACAAATTGAATATAAAAATATATCTTCAGACACCGAACATGCCTTCAATATACAGTGTTAGTGCTACATAACACATGATCAAACACACATAACTCTAAGTATATCAAACCTTAGTACTTGAGCAATAATATCATCCCAGTCTATAGTATGATCCTCAGTATTGACCCATTTCGTAGTTGGTGGTTCAATAATGGGAAAATCAACAAGATATTCAGGAAGCTTTTTGTTTATCTTCCCCCTTAATGTTCTAGCACTATACTCCAATTTCTCAGAAGCTACCCAAAGAGGCACAATATTGTGAGCATCAACTTCATGAACAGTAACCAAATCACCAACCCTCTCACAAATCTCAGCTTTGCATTTCTTCAATTCTCTTAATGGTGACATATCTGTCACCAAAAGAGACGCTCCACATTCTCTAACAAATTTCGATACAGTTTCCTCAGCCTCACCCTATAATATTAACACATGAAAAAAAGCTTAAAAATTTGAACTTTAGAGCAAATGAAAAAGTAAAATAGAACTAAACAAAACTATACCTGAAACAAGAAAAAGGGGATTTGAAGAGTGTGTTGAAGTTGGTGACACAATTGGCGCAAACCCCTGAGCATAAACCCTAAATGACGAGCCTTTGCGCCAATAAAACTGTTGAAGAGATTGAAAACAATGGCTACTGGAACGTTGGATTTGTTGGCTTGATGAACGGCGTGGATGAGAGCCCAGTTGTCTTTCAACCGTTGATCTCTGAACATCCAGTACACGACGGGGCCGGTTTTTCCAGAACCTTCTTTCAAGGTTCGAATGCGACCGGGGTTCACTGACATTGGTGGCGACGGTGTGGAAGCCATGATCGGAAATCGTTGTGTAGGTAGGTAGCTAATGTAAGGCTTTTGGAGGGAATTTCAACCGGCAAATGTTGAGGTGTGTGGTTTCGAACCAATATACGCACTTCCACTCTTTGTTTGACACGTGTATAACGTTAATATTTCTAAAATCTTTTATTATAAATTACTGTATTGAAAATATAAAAATAATTTTTTTAATAAGCATAAGGAATCACTTTGTGACTACCCATTTTTGTTGCAAGGGAATCACCCTAGCACGAATATATGACCTAAAGTTTTTGTTGTAAAAAAAAGGTAAAATATTATTTTTCATTTCTAAATTTATTTTTGGGTCTATTTTAGTCTCTTAATTTTAAAATGATTAAATCAATTTTTTAATTATTAAAATAGTGACACATTTATCCTTCTGTTTGCTTCCGTTAGTCAGGAAAAAGTTATCTATATGGCTTAGATGAATGTTGATGTGGATATAATTTCCAAAAATGAAAAGGGTGCTTTAGAAATTGAAAACGTGGACCCTAGAAGTTCAACATTACGCTAATGGTGTTGAAACGAGCTACATCGTTTTGGTAGATTATATGTGTGTTTGAAGGTGAAATTGAAGGCATAAAGAAGGATTAAAAACGTCATTGAGTACAAGTTAGGCATTTTTGCATTTAATCATTCTGATAGTGGTAGACAAACTAGGGTTTCTCATGTATTTGTTCAGAGAGTGAAAGAAATATATGACTTTTCATGTTTTCTTTCTGAGAGTGGTAGAAAATTTAGGGATTTTCATGATTTCGTTCTGCATGTTTGTTCTGTTGTAGGGCTTTGTTGGTTTGTTTTGTAAGTATATTAGGGCACAACTTAATTTGGTATTTGATCTAAGTAGGTGAAATGGACGAGTATCTAAAACTAAAAATTCATCATAGTGGTCAATTCATTTATGGTGAACTTAGTGCATATGAAGGGGGGGGGGGGGGGGGGGGGGAGTAGGTGATTTGAAAACAGATGTTAACAAATGATGTTATTTTTTAGTTGGTAGGTGTATTGAATGAGTTAGGTTAAATGGATTTTGAGACAATATATTACAAGGACCCCTCATTTGGGATGAGTGCTTTTGTTGATGATGAGGGAGCATTAGAAATAGCTGATTTATACAGGGTTCATCTAAGTGCTGACATTCATATTCAACGCATGTTGTCACAACCTGATTATTATGATGGGCCTATAAACGCATAAGTAGACCGTACTGACATTGTCAATGAGGAGGAAGAATTGCTATCTAAAATGTATGAAGAAGTTGTCAGCGGGAAAGATAAGTTCAGGGAACCTGAGGAAGTTAATGTTGGTGTAGATGATGATAATGTTGGCGTAAAGGGTGATAGTGATGGTGTGGAGGGTGATAATGTTGGTGTGGAGGATGGTGATGTGCATGACGGGTTAAGTACTGATAATCAAGATGATAATGAAAATAAGTTGTACAATTATGAAAGTGCTCTAGAGGTAGCTTTTGATGATTCTTCAGATGAGTATGATGATTTATAGGAAAATGAAGTGGCTAATCGACTTGAATATGGATATCATGATTAGGGACAAGGTAAAAAATAAAATAAAAATAGGAAGAAGACGAGGAAGAATTTAAAGGGATTGATAATGATAATGAAGAACTAGTAAGTGGGTGTGATATTGATGATAATTGTGGTTCTACAAGAAAGACTTGTCCAATGTTTAAGATGTAAAAGGACATGGAAAATTACAAATGGGAGGTAGAAATGTGCTTTAGTTCAAAAAGATGAATTCAAGGAAGCCATATCATCATATGTTGTCTAAATTGGTAGAAATTTTAAGTTCACTAAAAATGACAAAGTAAGGTTGATGGTTAGATGTAAGGTTAGTTGTGAGTGGAAGTTTATTGTGCCAAATTGCCAAATGAATAATTTTGGCAACTAAGGAAGGTAAATGATAAACATAATTGTAGTAGAGAGTATAATGTGAAGGTGGTGACTACCAAGTGATTAAGCAAGAGGATTTAAAACTCTTTAAAAAATAATCCTAGGATGAAGATAAATGACATATAGGCAAATGCACAAATGATGTGGGATGTAGGTGTTAATAAGACTAAGGCAATAAGAGTGGTATTTAAAGCTAGAGATATGGTTAATGGTTCTTTATTAGTGGATTACACTAGAATATATGACTATTGTCATGAGTTGTTAAGAGCAAACCTAGGGTCCACTATGAAGCTTAATGTTGATCTAAGTAAAGAAGGTATAACTGATCAATGACCTTATTTCAGAAGGTTGTACATATACTTTGTAGCATGTAACGAGAGCTTCAAGTTATATAGACATGTCATAGGACTTGATGGTTGTTCTCTAAAGAGGCGTTTTAGTGGGAAGATTTTGGCTGCAATAGGCAGGGGTCTAATTGATCAGATGCTTCCAGTAACATTTGCAATTATAGAGGGAGAAAATAGGGATAAATGGACATGGTTTTTGGAGCTCTTGATTGATGACCTTGGAGGTAAAGAGGAATGTATCACATACACATTCATTTCATATCAACAAAAGGTATGTAAACATGCTTATATTCATTTCATTATTTTCTCTTATTTTATGTCTTGTGATACGGTGTTGTTTGTTGTTTTACAGGGTCTACTACCATCCATGGATGAACTTTTGCCTAATATGGAGCAAAGATTCTATGTGAGTCACTCATACAACAACTTTAGGAAGAGGTATCTTCGGAAGATGTTGAAGGAAATAATTTGGAAGACTGCAAAATCAACATATACACAAGCTTCGGAAAGAGAGATTAAGGAAATGAGGCTGATCAATAAAGATGCATATCTCCATGTGATGATGACTCCTACAAGATTTTGGAGTAGATCGTATTTTAGGGCAACTAAAAAATGTGATATTATTCTCAACAACATGTTAGAATATTTCAATAATGTTATCCTTGAGTCAAGGTCCGAGCCATTAGTAACCATGTTGGAAGAGATCATAACATATTGTATGGAAAGATGGGCAACCACTAGGATGAGGTCTCAAAACTTGGTTGATGATGATGTCTTGCCTAATATAAGAAAGAAAGTTAAGAAAATAAGTAGTTACATCAACTTATGGATTGTCGGATATGTAAGAACGAATTCACCAAGTTTTATGGATTGTAAGGTTAATACTGATATTTGTATACTGATATTGTAGGATGTTTGATGAGCGCATATTTGAAGTAATCCATGTTTAAAATCCATCTGATATTTTTTTGTGAATTTGAAAGACAATTTATGCTCTTGTAGAAGGTGGGAACTCACGAGATTGCCATGTGTTCATGCATTGTCATGTATGAAGAGTATGAACTTTAGGATTGAAGATGAAATTTCTTAAGTTTTATAGGAAGAGTATGTACATGCTAGTCTACAAACATGTGATTTATCTTATAAATGGATCAAATCTATGGGTTAGGACACCATATCCAAATATGCAACCTCTTAAGTATAGAAACGTGTCTAGTAGACCAAATAAGAGGAGAAACCTTGAACAAAGGGAGATTAATGGGACTGGAAAAAAAATTAGGAGAACATGGTTAATTGTCAGATGCAGTAGGTGCAAGAAGTCAGGGCACATCAAATCAACTTGTAAGGTGACACCAGTAACTCAGCCTTCTCAACAGCGTGCTCAAGCTTCTCAATAACCACTTCAAGCTTCTCAACATACATCTCAAGCTTCTTAACATCCTGCTCCAAGGACCTAAACACCAGGAACTAGATGAACTCAAGGTTCTCAGGGAACTCAAGGACCAACAATTAGAGGTATTCAAGGAACTAAAGGACCAACAACTAGAGTTGCTCAAGGAACACAAAGCACTCAAGAAAGTCAAGCACTAAGAGCTAGAGGAACTCAAGGAAGTCAAACATCAAGAACAAGATAGGCTTCACATGCTACTCAACCATCAACACTTGGAAAGTCAAAGAAGTTGGTTGTTAGGAAAGAATCAACATCAATTGTACCCCCTGGACCTACAACTAGATTAAGTGCAACAAGAATGTGGTTGGCCCAACAACAAGGAGGACTACTCCAACAAAGAGGGTCACGCCAAAGAAGAACATTTAACTTGTATTTGACATGTATTTTAAACCACTTTTGGGATGTTGTATATTTAATGGTCTTACTTGTATTTTGAACCACTTTTGGGATCTTATCTTTTTGTGTTAAGTTTGTGCCTTTCATTTTAGAATGTTTCCTAGAATTCCGGTGATGTGTTGCGGACATGTGTGTTGAACATATTTATCTATTAATGTCAATTATGTTTTAATGTGTGTTGAACATATTTATCTATTAATGTCAATTATGTTTTATTGTCAATTTTGTGTTATTTTAAATTATCTATTAATGTCAATTTAGTATGATACCAACTTTTAGAAACTCTAAGGCACCATTAAACATGTATAATGCCAAATTTTAGTATGAATTGGAATGCACCATTAAACAAGTATAATGTCAATTTTTAGTATGAACTGGTATGCACCATTAAACAGGTATAATGCCAAATTTATGTATGAACTGGTATTTAAACTGGTATGCACCATTAAATTGGTATATAAGTTAATTCAATATAATGCCAAATTTTACAAAATCTAAGGCACTTTAGTATGGATCAAATTAAACAGGTATATAAACTGATATAACGCCAAATTTTAGAAAATGATATATAAATAATCCAGTAGGAATCATATTAAACTGAGAGATACCAAAATATTTAGTACATTACAACAATTTCATACTGTTGTACCCCAAAATTTTCCCTCCCATATTTCTCAAGACATTTCAAGAATCATCTCCAAGATTGTTCAAGAGTTAGACAGTCAAATCACCTCCTAAGGCAGTCAATTCAAAATTAGGGTTTTGTGTTGCATCAAGGTCCTCACATCCAAATGGCCTAAAGTGATCCCCAATGCCCTAATATGTTCTCAAGTTCATCCATGTCAAATTTCAAGCCTTGCAGAGGAAGTTTGG